AGATCAATCAATCAAAATGAAAATGACTATGGGAGAAAGCCAATTAGCAGCTGTGGAAATAGCCTAAGTGTATGTTATAATCTGGGCATGGACTGCTGTGGTTAACTATGAGAATAAAAAGATCACTTAGAGGAAAAAAAACACACACATTAAAGAAGAAATGCCAACATTCATTTTTAACTCATTGGTTATATACTGAGCAAACTAGAAGTAATCAGAGCAAAGATTTCAAGTCTGAGGGTTGAAAACAAGCAATAGGAAAGGTGGGCCCAGCCTTGGTTTTGAACCCATTGTTTTCAGTTGGGTCAATTATTCGAGTAGAAATTGGGAAAGAGGTTAAAGACGAGAAACAAACTTCCTAAAACCCCATATTTTCTCTGTTATTAAATTAGAACTTCTGATTATGTCGATGTATTACAGGAGTATAACTATAGTCTTGCCCAGAGGTTTCTATAGCATTATTTGAAACTAGCCAAATTTTTATTCAAGATCACTGAGAAACTACAAAAACAGTTATCTGTATTCAAATAAAAGTAACAACGTGAACAGTCGCCTTCTTTCCACAAATAAGATGAAGCAAGGGGATCCTCACAGAAAGTTTTATCTGTATCATCTCCTCTCTCTGAAGAAACGCTAGTCCTAACTGTCTAGATGGGTTTTCTGCATCATTTCACATGCTTAGACTTTCCCAGAAAGAGTCACCAAAAAAAAAAAAAAAATGCCCGCTGATGCTTATCTTCAAGTTTTACCTGCAGCACATTTTTATAGCCAATTTTCAGATTCCTAAAATCAAATGGAGATACTGATATAACCGTAAGTGGAACCTGACTAATACAAGTATTTTATAAGGGTCAGTTTTAGCAAATAATTTACACAAATATCTACTGGCCTTAGGTTACTATTCCAAACAACCCAAATTCGCATTTTCTACATTTAAAAGTATTAATTCCCTTCCTAAGGAGTTAATCAGTCTTTAGAGTTAACTTCATTTTCAGGGAGCATTCTTATTTTAAATTTAAGAAATTCCATGTTGATTCAGTTCTCTGGTGCATAGACGATGGTGGGGTTTTTAAGGTATATTCCTCATTTGGTCCAAGATTTATCTGCTTATCTCCCATTCTCAAATATTTATCCTAATAAACAGATGAAGTGAATTGTGTAAAACCAGAAATGATCTTTTTCTACCTAGGTAAGGAGAGTATAGCTGATTAGCTTCAAGTAAAGACACTAACTTTACAATGTCTGGCTTAATCCCCTTCAGAGCCCAGTTGTGTGGAGTGAAGGCTCTACATCACCGAAATAATTCACTAACAGAGAACCAAGATGCATCTTAATGTAAAATAGTATACCACCAAGGATTCCAGACACAACCTGCTTTTTTTTTTTTTTACAACATAATTTAATTTGACTGACATCATCCAAATGAAGGTCTGTTCCTCTTCAGATCATAGTAAAGTCACCTAAGCGTAAGCTGTGTCACTCTAGAGAGCCACCGGGACATCAGAAATGTGTGTGATTCACGCTAAAGGCTACTGAACCACGATCCCTATTCTTTTCCTATGACACCCTTCTGACCTGCTTTTAAATATGATTAATATATAAGAAAACTCCCCATAAGAATTATATAGGTGCAAAAATCTGTTCAACAGGTATTATCATGTGAACATTTTATAAATCCTAAAAGGGATTTTCCAAAGTGTTCACCTGGTTGTTGGAAGTGCAAAGACTAACCTTGAATAACTACATGCCTTTCTTTCTTTCTTTAACTACATGCCTTTCAAGGGAACGTGGAAAGCAGTCTTTGGAAGCATACTTAAAAACAATAAGGTAAATATGTCCAACTGAAATTAATTGATTAAATTCACTAGCTAACACTGCTTTCAAAATGTGTAATATCTGGGTACTGAATATTACTCATCTTTTTTTTTAGGTATGCTTTTCTTCAGCCTGCCCAACACTGCCCTAAAATGTCAACCAAGAGTATAGAACTGGAAATGATATGAGAAAAAATATAGGTAATTTTCTTTAGGTTACCCTTCCCAGAGTTTTCCTTTTGATAATTTCTTTTGTGAAGCAAAGAAATATGGATTCCAAGGGCCCATTTAAATGATCTTTTACAGAAATGGTTGCAGGTAATATATGAGGCTTTCCTTACAAAAGAGCGCCAACTTTGAGCTGTGAAATACAAGAAAGTATTCAATATTAGCCAATAAAACACCTCTGCCTCCTTCCCAAGTACACAGAACTCAAATTTATTTTATACTATACATTAGTGGAGGGCAGGAAACAAATATATTTAAAACACACCCTATGAAAAGAAAGTTTCACAATGAACTACATGCAAAAAGAGTCCTGAATAACAAAGCTATTTCCATGTCCCCATGATAACAAAGCTATTTCCATGTCCCCAGGGGGTGACCCAGAAAAAAAGAGTGCTTTGACCTGGTTATAACACATTCTCTCTCTCTTGGTAACTTATCCAGGTCTTCAGCAAATTATCACTCTCAAAAGGTTTTCCTTCTACCAATCTAAATCCTAAATGTTTGAAGTTCAAGTTCATTTCCTTCTTTTGAGGAGCCACTTGTTGAAGATGGGTCAAGAAGGAAAAATTAATGTTGGTATTGAAGAAAAGTGACAATACAAAACTAGGTTTATTTGCAGTTTTAAAAACAGCTCTAGTATGAAAGGCTTAAAAACAGCAAGTTATATTTGGATAAGAACCTCTATTTCTTATCTAAACAGCAAAACCAATCTCAATTTAAAACTGAAACAAAGCATTTGCATTATGAGGAGCCTTTGGTAATAAAGGAAATATTTAGTACTTGGATCTGGGGTACTAAAATGTCATGGAAATGTGTATTTCTGCTGTCATAACATAGCTCACCCACCTGAAACACCTGCAAGCAAACAGACATAATATAAATTCCCAGAAGATCTGCCTATTTATCTGAGTCAAGCTCAATCTCACTATATTTGGTTTGTCTGAACTTTTCTGTGATCTTATCAGTGATTTACAAGAATCTCCTGTGATACAGTAGGCTAGCGTTGCTTCCATTAAAACCTCCAAACTCAGGACTCAAAGCTCAAAAGAAATCCACATTTCCAAAGACTTCTCAAAGGCAATGGAGAAACACTTGAGGATGTTGCTTATATGTTCTTCCAAAATCTCTTCAACTGTACTTTATGTAATTCTACTGCTCATGTTTAACCCTGCTCCATTTTTCTCTCCATTTCTGGTCTTCCCCACCCTATGCCCTAGAGCAAAAGAAAATATTTTTTCATTTCAGATCTCTCCCTATCTCTTTCTCTGTAGACAGTAGGTTTCTAGTCAGTTTCACGGATAGGTTCTTAACAGTACCAAGCTGTGGAGTAGCAAACAGGCAGAGCAACAGAGCAAGTACATACGCTATACTCCTTACAATACAGTTTGGGGGATCATCCTCACCTTAAGCACATCAGCACCCCAGAATAAAGACTGATAAACACGTGCAAAGCATCATGAGACACTGTCATCCCCAGCAGAACCTGGTCACTTCAGAAACAGTTAACTTCTCACACACTACACACTCATGTGAACCAAGGTCAAAAATGTATATCTGTGGATAGAATTCACCCTCAAATGAAACCACTTCTACATTCCTTCTTCTGCCAGAAGTACAAGCGTTTACAGAAGAAATACAACATTTGAAAGATGTGCATAAATATATTAGACAGAAGGAGGACCCAATATTCAAAGCAAATTTGAAAATTAATCCAGATTCACTGCAAAGATATGTTTGTCAGTTTCTTAACATTTTTTAAAAAGTAAATACTAATCACCTTGAGAGATGATCAGTATTATGAAAGTCACTATTAAGTATGTAAGCAAATTGCTCATGAACTCTTTACACAAAGGCATCACACATTGCCCATAAGAAAGACTCCCTCTGAAAATAGATATGGAAAACCCGTGTGTGTGTGTGGGGCGGGGGGGGGGGGGGGGGGGGGTTGGCTTTAACCTGTAATGCTGTGTTTCAGGAAAAAGCCTTATTTCTCAAATCAAATTTTCATAACCTTAGTAACAGGAGCCTTATGATCATTCTGTGCTAAGTTTGATGGCGTGCCAGTACAGACCATGGGAGAAGATTCAGTAAAATAAAGTACAGAGACATGAGCTTTCATCAACACATCTGAGTCAATGCTGAGCCTGGTGCGCTATGGCAGAGTGCAACTCAGTGTTTTCCCCACAGGCCGTGGCTGATTACTGACTCCTCCCATTAGCATGTAGGGTGCATACTGAAGGTTCAGAGAGAAGGCTGGGGGACTCCTATCCCAAGGCCAGGCTGAAAGACAGCCTATCACTTCATGTAACTGCAGTCCATGTGTGACAAACCTGACCTACATTTCTCCCGTTCTTTCTCACAAGAGCCTGTCACTGTTTTAAGAAGCTATTTTCTAAAATGCACAAAAGGAATGACTTTTAAGATTGCTTAGGAAATGTACATTCCTAAAATAGCATTTATAGCAATCTCATAAGGAGTATCGTTTATACAGCAGATAATCATAAAAACCTAGCCTAATATAAGCTCAGAGACAGCCAAGAGTGCTTTATGATCTTATCCTTTGTATTCTCCTTTAGATTGTCATTTATACAGTAGAAACTCCTAAAAGTACTACAATTAAATTTTTAATCAGTACATAATTAAATTTAATAAAAAGGAAGTTTTTAAACATAAAAAACATATTCATTAGGAATGTATAATTAAACATGTTTCATTAGTTATAAAAAGTAGCTTTCACAGCTTCACAAGAAGCCACATCCTAGTAGTTCTGTTAACTTCTCAATGGATACACAATAATCACTACTAAGAATAGGGCATAATTAGAAACGACGACGGGGAGGAGGAGAAAGGAGGCAATAATAACTTGGTGTCAATGCTGGAGCGCGCGCCCCAGGAGTGGCTGCACGCTGCACTTCACAGAGTCGCCAGTGTGCCGGGCTCCTCACCGTAAGTACCTACCATGTCGCTGCAGGTCATACTCTTTTTTTGTCTCTTCATTCCCAAGAATTTTCCATGCCTGATCAATTTCAATGAACTTCTGTATACATTCCTCCACTGATCCTGCTGGCGCATCTGCACTCTGTTTATCTGGATGATACTGCCAATCAAAAATAAGGGCAAGTGATGAGTGGTGAGGGTTGCGGGCAGGTAGGTTACCAAAACAAACAAACAAACAAACAAAACTAAATCTGAGCAGTATTTAAGAGATGGTAATGAGAAGATGAAAACTAAGATGCTAAGCAATGAGACTACAGCAATGGGCACAGGAGACAACTGCCAGGTTAATTAGAGCACTGGAGTAGCTATAAATCCACTGGTGACATGATCTGTCACAACGTGCAAAGACAGCATTTTCTGGATAATTTGCTGATGGAATCACTGGTCTCATGGACAATTTACCTAGAAAGGATGACTAACACAAACAGAAATAGGTACATGCAGACAAGCAGGACATGCAGAGAAGAGTGCAAACTCTGCAGAGTATGAAGCTCTCCTCATAAAATGTGCTTGGCTGGAAATATCACCATGCACTACTAGCTTTTCTTTTGAAATCACACAATTTTACTTTTAAAATAAAACACTTTCACCTTCTGGTTCAGCCCTGAAGATTTTAAAAGTTATAAATCCCCCAACACAAATTTTTCTTGAAAAATGGTTGTTTTAGGCTAAATTTGTAGGAAACAGCTTTAAAGAACTCAACAAAACATTTGAATACAAATTAAATCATTAGTAAATCTTTCTTACATTTGTTTTCATGCTGAACTTCTCCACACTGCTGATGATCCTCACTAGCAGAGCAAAAGCTACTGTGGTATTTGGTTGCCCAAAAGAACTAGTGAACATCATGCATGCTGGGACAAAGATTATTAGAGCAAAGAGATTCAAGTTTCCATTTTTCTTTTGGCTAACTATTTCTCTTCCTTACTCCCTATGTCCAAGTCTATCAGCTATCAAAAATATTTAAGCTAATTAAGATAATGACTAAAGAAAAGGAAGCTAAGGCTTATCACTTCATCTTTTTTAGGCCATGAATGATCCTCATAAAAGTTATTCCCACACTGAAGTTTAATCAATCTTTAAAGTTAGGATATTAAATAATGTACCAAAGCCAAAATAGAGTTGGCTATATTAAGATCTCTAGCAAACCCTTCTTACACTATGTAAAGATGATCTGTATATATACCAAGTCTGGTATGAAGCAATGTTATTTCATGCAATATGCTCAAATATACCACTAGCACACATTTAAGACATACTTACATGTGAAATCTCAATCTCAGTATGCCACAAACATTGAGTAAGGCCCTAGAGAAATCCCTTAATCTAGCAGCTGTATCATGTAAGTACAGACTAGAATACATGTAATTTCTAATAGGCCACTAGAAAAACCAACAGTGGTTGGTACAATGAACAGAAAACATTGGACCTAATCATTTACCAACCTGACCAAGAAAGCCTTACAAAAGCAATAATTAATTTCTGCCTGCCCAAAACTAAAAGCTATCACTAAATTTTGAGTCATATATCAGTTCTATGAGAGTCAAAGCACAACTCATTTTCAGTAATTTGGTATTTTCCTGACTACTATTTTAAATAAGTAATTTATGATCTGAAGCTTTTTAGATCTATTCTGTTGTACTAATAGAATGGAATAAATCTTACACTGTGATACAGACAATTAAAAATGACAGTTATAGCAAGAAAATAAGTATGGCATTTGGAGTGCTAAAGGCCTCAGTCCAGTCTGCTTTGATAGCAAGTTCCAGAACAAAAATGAAGGTGTAATAAAGACAATACATTTTGTGATAATAGCTCCCAAGGATACCAGGTCCTAATCCCTAATTGCTGTATATGTTATCTTATTTGGAAAAGGGGTCTTTGCAGATGTGATTAAGTTAAACATTAGGGTTATCCTGAACTGCCCAGGTGGGTCCTAAGTATAATCAAAGTGTTTCTGTAAGAAAGAGGCAGAGGGAGATTTGACGCACAGAGAGAAAGGGAAAGGTGGTATGAAGACTGTGCAGAGAAAACCTTTAAATACTGGCATTAAAGACTAGAGTGATGAGGCCACAAGCAGTCACCAAATGCTAAGAGAGGCAAGGAACAGACTCTCCCTCTAGAGATTCTAGAGGGACGGTGGCCCTGCCAGCACCTTGACTGTGCCCCAATTACACTGATTTTGGACTTTTAGCCTCCAGAATTATGAAACAATAAATTTATGCTGTTTTATTTTTTATAAGTTACTTCTTTATTGAAGGATAATTGCTTTACAGAATTTTGTTGTTTTCTGTCAAACCTCAACATGAATCAGCCATAGGTATACATATGTCCTCTCTCCTGAACCTCCCTCCCATCCCCTGCCCCTATAGATTGATACAGAGCCCTTGTTTGAGTTTCTGGAGCCATACAGAAAATTCCCGCTGGCTGTCTATTTTACATATGGCAATGTAAGTTTCCATACATCTCACCCTCTCCTCCCCTCTCCCCACATCCATAAGTCTATTCTCTATGTGTTTCTCCACTGCTGCCCTGTAAACAAATTCTTCAGTACCATTTTTCTAGATTCCATATATATGTGTTAGAATACGATATTTATCTTTCTCTTTCTGACTCACTTCACTCTATATAATAGGTTCTAGGTTCATCCACCTCATCAGAACTGACTCAAATGCATTCCTTTTTATGGCTGAGTAATATTCCATTGTGGATATGTACCATATCTTCTTTATCCATTCATCTGTCCATAGACATCTAAGTTGCTTCCATGTTTTAGCTATTGTAAATAGTGCTGCAATGAACAATGGTATACATGTGTCTTTTTCAATTTTAGTTTCCTCAGGGTATATGCCTAGGAGTGGGATTGCTGGGTCATATGGTGGTTTTATTCCTAGTTTTTAAGGAATCTCCATACTGTCTTCCATAGCAGCTGTATCAATTTACATTCCCACCAACAGTGCAAGAGCGTTCCCTTTTGTCCACACCCTCTCCAGCATTTATTGTTTGTAGATTTTTTGATGAGGGCCATTCTGACGCGTGTGAGGTGATAGCTCATTCTAGTTTTGATTTGCATTTCTCTAGTAATGAGCAATGTTGAGCATCTTTTCATGTGTCTGTTAGCCATCTGTATGTCTTCTTTGGAGAAATGTCTATTTAGATCTTTTTCCCACTTTTTGATTGGGTTATTTGTTTTTCTAGCATTGAGTTGTATGAGTTGCTTGTATATTTTGGAAATTAATCCTTTGTTAGTTGTTTCATTTGCTATTATTTTCTCCCATTCTGAGGGTTGTCTTTTCACCTTGCTTATAGTTTCCGTTGCTGTGCAAAAGTTTTTAAAGTTTAATCAAGTTCCACTTGTTTACTTTTGTTTTTATTTCCATTACTCTAGGAGGTGGGTCATAGAGGATGTTGCTTTGATTTATGTCATTGAGTGTTCTGCCTATGTTTTCCTCTAATAATTTTATAGTTTCTGGTCTTACATTTAGGTCTTTAATCCATTTTGAGTTTATCTTTGTGTGTGGTGTTAGGACATATTCTAATTTCATTATTTTACATGTAGCTGTCCAGTTTTCCCAGCACCATTTTTTGAAGAAGCCGTCTTTGCCCCATTGTATATTCTTGCCTCCTTTGTCAAAAATAAGGCACCCATAGGTGCATGGGTTTATTTCTGGGCTTTCTATCTTGTTCCACTAGTCTATGTTTCTGTTTCAGTGCCAATACCATATTGTCTTGATGACGGTAGCTTTGTAGTATAATCTGAGGTCAGGAAGAGTGATTCCTCCAGCTCCATTCTTCTTTCTCAAGACTGCTTTGGCTATTTTGGCGTCTTTTGTGTTTCCACATGAATTGTGAAATTTTTTGTTCTAGTTCTGTGAAAAATGCCATTGGTAATTCAACAGGGATCACACTGAATCTGTACACTGCATTGATAGTATAGTGATTTTCACATTATTGATTCTTCCGACCCAGAAACATGGAATATCTCTCCATCTGTTAATGTCATCTTTGATTTCTTTCATTAGTGTCTTATAATTTTCAGTGAACAGTTCTTTTGTCTTTTTAGGTAAGTTTATTCCTAGATATTTAATTCTTTTTGTTGCAATGGTGAATGGGAATGAGTCCTTAATTTCTTTTTCTGATTTTTCATTGTTAGTATATAGAAATGCAAGTGATTTCTGTGTATTGATTTTGTATCCTGTAACTTTGCTAAATTCACTGATTAGCTCTAGTAATTTTCTGATATTATCTTTGGGGTTTTCTACATACAGTATCATGTCATCTGCAAACAGTGAGAGCTTTACTTCTTTTCCTATCAGATTCCTTTTATTTCTTTTTCTTCTCTGATTGCTGTAGCTAGGACTTCCAGAACTATGTCGAATAATATTGGTGAAAGTGGACACCCTTGTCTTGTTCCTGATCTTAGGGGGAATACTTTCAGTTTTTCACCATTGAGAATAATGTTTGCTGTAGGCTTATTATATATGGCCTTTATTATGTTGAGGTAGATTCCTTCTATGCCCATTTTTTGAAGAGTTTTAATCATAAATGAGTGCTGAATTTTGTCAAAGGCTTTTCCTGCATCTATTGAGATTATCATGATTTTTATCTTTCAATAGTTACTGTAGTGTATCACACTGATTAATTTGGATATACTGAAGAACCCTTGCATTCCTGGAATAAACCCAGCTTGATCATGGTGTATGAGCTTTTTGATGTGTTGCTGAACTCTGTTAGCTAAAATTTTGTTGAGGATTTGTGCATCTATGTTCATCAGTGATATTGGCCTGGAGTTTTCTTTTTTCATGTTGTCTTTGTCTGGTTTTGGTATGAGGGTGATGGTAGCCTTGTAGAATGAATTTGGAAGTGTTCCTTCCTCTGCAATTTTTTGAAAGAGTTTAGAAGGATAGGCATTAGCTCTTTAAATGTTTGAGAGAAATCTCCTGTGAAGCCATCTGGTCCTGGGCTTTTGTTTTTTGGCAGATTTTTGATCACAGCGTCAATTTCAGTACTTGTAATTGGGTTGTTCATAATTACTATTTCTTCCTGGTTCGGTCTTGTAAGATTGAACTTTTCTAAAAATCTGTCCATTTCTTCCAGGTT